AAAGTATATTTAATGTCATTCAGGATTGGTTCCCATATACAGTACTAAAATTGCACTAAATAGGCTAAGTTGATTTTTTCATTAATAATGTGAACATTAATTAAGTATACAAAATTGGATTGAACGCCATTCCCATTAGCCTTGGTTCTCAAACCAAATAAATCGAAAGAAATATTATTAATCAAACAAAAACTCTGTATGTATCAATTTAAGTCATTAAATAATGTAATTTATTTCCTCTGTCAAAGTCCGATTCTAAAGATAAAATGACTGTACTGATATCGTAAAAAAATTTATACAAAAAAAATTGAACCACGCCAAAAAAAACCAAAGTATTAATTCAGGATATAACAATAGATATTAATTTCCAATCATGAAATCCCAAATATTGAGATTTTATCAATACTGTAAATCAAACGATTAATTTACTAAAATAATTTTAACTGCACAAAAACTCTTAATAATATCAATTTAGGGTGTAACAATAGGTAGAATATATTGGCACTGTGTCCTCTGCAAGGCCTGGTTCCCAATAAGATCGTACCAGAAGATCGAACAATTTAACAATAACTACACAAATACTCCAAAAACATTGAGGTGCATTATCTTTGGTATAGTGTCATCTCATCTGGAATAGCTGATGAGTCAAATCGATCCAGAGAGAAAGACAGATAACGGGGGAGGGGTAAGGGGAGTTGTTCTACAGGTTTGCTGGTTTGCAACAGGTCTCTCTGGTAACCATGGCAACCATGACGTAACGTATGCCTCCCCCCTTTTGCTCCCGGATTTAATATTTTACCCTTAAATGACCCCCCTCCCGTGTCAAAGCCGCTTACATATTTTTCTTTACAAATTACTTTTCTTGTTTGGTATGGTTAGTTTTGACCTTGCTCCTTTCCAGGATATTATTCCCGTAGGGTGTAAGATGTGTATATTGTGGTGTATGGATGTTATACGTATTTCAATAATCGATTTAATCACATTTGGAGTGTTAACAATAAGGACTATTAGAAACAGAGGTGAAGAACAGAAGTTAACTGTAAGAAAGGGCCATGAGGTCCTAAGTCCATGAGGTCCTTCCTCAATGAAGAAGGATTTTAATTCCATTTCATTAACAGTTTATGCAAGACTGTATATGTGGGTGCTACAATGGTGGTTGATTTCGACCAGTCAAAGGTCATCATCAGGCCAAACGAAGACACAAAAACGCTTTTGAGAAAACAGCGATTAAGTGTTTTCAAACGTACCCAAAAGAAATACTTTACAGTCACAGTACGATGGACATTCCCCCTTTTTACCCTGTATGTTTATAATAAAAATCGTTATATCTTTGGATATTACACTTTATCTCCCAGGTCAGTTTACAGAACATATACAGCTTCTCAGAGCATATAAACCCGTCACTATCTAAAAAAAATATTTTGGACATTCTCCCTTCTTTCCTCTCTGGTTTCTTTAAATGAGATTATTGGTCGTAATCAAGCGCTATTGTATCAAAAATGTTATATACTTACCTTATTGTAAGGTTTTTATTTTTTTATAATTCATCGAAAATATGCATTATATCATACTTACATATACGCTTAAAATGCTAATAAATACGTTATTTGTTGTGTATCTAACTATACAAGTTTCAGTTCCCAAGCTGGTCTAGTTGTAGAGCGCAGAATTTCGGTCCACGGGTTCTCGGGTTCAAATCCGGTCTATCACCGATGGCTAAGTTGTTAGTCCGCTCTAAGCTGCAGGTCCTCATTATCTAGAAGATAAAAATTGTATGGTTCTAAGCGTGATGAGAACTTACTCTGAATTGGAAAACTATCTCCACCAGGTCGTACAGAAACTTAATTTTTACTTTGGACCCCATATATATATATATATATATATATATATATATATATATATATATGGATAAGATTGCTTTTGTCAACATTTCTGAGTTTGTGTTCTGTGTGAGTCCCTTTTGGGACCCCCTGAGCTCAAGTTGTTTTCGATGGTTTGTATGTCAGTGTTTGTAGAAGTGTACAGAGCTAGCCCACTCCTGTGGTCCGATTTTAATGACAGTTGGTATGTGGGTACTAATCCATGGTATCTCCAAAAGGGCTCACACCTTTTGGAAATTTTGATTTTTAATGGTCATCTATCCATAAGAACCCCTAAAATGACGGGGAAATCTGATTTTACAAAACTGGCTCAGACGATTTCGATTTAAATTTTGTATATGGTCTTTTAAAACCCCCAAAAAATCGTAAAACTCCCAAAGCTGTAAAAGAATTGTGTGAAATTAGTTGCATTTTTTGTGATTTTACCCATAGTTACCCATTTTACCCGTGTGATTGTACACCTATCTGTTAAGGGTCATTCGCAAGCTAATGGGAGAAAGTATGTGTCAGTTGCTGATACAATTTATTTACAAATCTTTATACTGGATCGCTTAGCCATGAAGGATTTATTTGAATAACCATATATTCTTACACAGCTTATATTTTGTGTTTGCGTTGATCCTAAATTAATTAAACGTCGTCATTTTCAGCCTTCCATCATGTTCAAACTCCCTCTGGGAAATTATCCAAAACAACACTCTTGAAATAAACAATTTCGAAACAACCTAAATTCACTGTTTTTTCCTAACCATTTTTATCAAGTAAATATTATTGCATTCATTGTCTTAGTCTTTCAAACAATGAATCATAAAAATTCAGTAACAAGTATAATAAATTCAAATATATGATTTAGTGATTGAATAAATAAACTACCATTGATCAAATGTGTGGTTAAAAGCACATAAATCTTAGAGGTTGAAAGTTAACACCTCCAAGTCTAAGAGAACGTTAACGGGTTGGTGAGGACCGTGCTGGGGTGATTTACAACAAAGGTTAATGGGTGTAAAACAAACGCCAGTTGGTACAACATAATGTAGACAACACTAAAACACTTCCTCCCTAACTACACTTGCAGCAAACTACTTAGAGGTAATATACAACATTGTTTCATCTGAACAATTTGTTAAGGTAAAATTATTTCACTTTGTTTTTGGCGGATTTGCCATTTAGGGAATAAACTATTGCCGTAGGTCTGATTCTTATGGGAAGACATAGACCCTGGACAGCTTTACTTTTTCGTAGAGGCCAAATACGCCATCCGTTCAAATCTTATGCATCCGTTAGCACGATAACTCAAGTAAAATCATCCAATTTAAATTAATTTGGTAACAACCAAATTCGTATTTAAACGTACGTTTATTCGAACGAGTTCACGTACCAGTGTGTTTTTTGGACATTAGGAATTCGGCTTTTTGGGGGGTTTATCATGGGGTTAAGGTGAGGGTTCACCCATTTTTGATTTCCAATACATAGGTTGGTCTCTTTTCAAACCATTTTCTAGAGCTAAAAATATTGTTTTTTTGAAGCGTTGCTGTACACCCAATAGTTAAGGATGACATTCCATAAAACTGTACATTTTTTAATTAACATGTTCTTTTATAAATACCGTAACAAGTAAACCGTCGTAGATCTGTTGTCTATACGATGTATTTTTATCAAATTTGGCAAATTTAATTATTTCATACTAAGCCACTACATCTTTCTAAAAACATACCAATTATTTTATACCCTTCCTTGTAGCAGCACACATAAGTACTCATTAAATCTAAAGTTATTTTATGGGAAATAAATATTGAAATTTTTAAGGAAATATTCAATTAATGAACAGCTTTTTAAAATAAAGATTAAAAGACTAGAATTTGTATCAGAGATAGAAAACCAAAGTTAATCCACACATCGATTCTATGTTCGATAAATTAGGCCAGCTGAAACTAGGTTTGTAATTTAGGAATCGTTCCTCTTGTGAGAATGGGGTTCAATCAATTCTACCCTTAGTTTGTAACAGATGTGGCTAATCCACGCCGATGAGTGGTTTTATCTGTATAACTTTCTCGTACAGTAAAAATAACTATGAAGTGTTATTTGTTTGATTTCATTCCGATTTGTTTATATTTATTCTAGTTGTAGTAACAGTTCTTATATTCTGATGGTTGAATGGCATTGGCATGTTTTTCAGGATTTTTTGAATTGTTGAAACTTTGGTAATTTTACTACACAACAATATAGGTTTACAACCAAACATTATAATAATGAAAATGCCAAAATAACATAAGAAACACTAACTATACAGCTCAAAGAAACGATGATGGGTATACTTTATTAAAATCATGTTAAATGGCATGTCAATACGGAGTGATTAATTGGTAATTGATAATTCATTTGTAAATTTAAAATAGTAGGCTACATCAATTGTATTGAATAAAGTAGCTAGAGCTATACTCAAAATTTTTGCTTGTCAGCTGTCAAAAAATTAGGTGAAAAGACACCTCTAAATCGAAACTGAAACCAGCTGATTTTGATCATGTGTTTTGAACGAATGATCCTCACTGCTGATCGTAGTCAGCTACACCGGTCATCTCATACACTTGTGCAATCATATTCAGTTTCATAGCTACGAACCGAACCAATGACAAAGCGATCTTATATCTGTACTTAATAAAAAATGTGGTAAGCATAAAATAATAAACTCAAAAGTGTCAAGGAAAAGTCAGTTTTCTAAAGCTGCTTATTTCAAGAGTGGCTTTGATTGATTTTAACCCTTGGCCTTGATATTTTTCTATTCCGTCCACAAATAGATGATGCAGTATTTTAAACTTATTTATCAGAGTATTTTTATGCTTTTCATTCTACTCTTCATCTGATTATAAAAACACATAAGTTATTGAGCCATTATTTTATTAATTTCGAATGTATAAAGAGGGAAAGCCATCAAGAATTTTCGCTGGCCATTTCTCCAGTCTTTTGGTGGTTTTCTTTCCATTCACAGTTTCAGGGAATCTGGTACCTATTGCCTTCTGAAATAGTCGTGTATTCCTCTGTACTAGTTTCTTCTTTCGTAATGATTTGGTGGGTACTCACACTTTAACTGCTCCATGGGTTTCATGTGTACTTTTGTTTCAGTACTGCTTTGCCATCTCGTATCGTAGAGAAAACCAGCGACAGTATGAGCTGCGGGCGGCTACAGAGAGCGACTGTAAGATGTGGATAGAGGCTATACGAGAGGCTAGGTGAGATGTTACAATCTTTGCCTTGTAATTAATGTTGTTAAAGTTATATAATACCAAACTGTTTCATATTAGTCGGCCAGTGCATGTCCTATATAGAGCCAACTCACAGTAAATCATAATCTAGCCAGTTTGAAAGAATGTAAATGGGAACGATGCAATTTTGGATACTGAGACAATTAAAGATCATAAGCCGTTACGAAAACCATTTAACTTAATATCAAAACTGCAGCTTGCTTATGGAAAATATGGGATTAGGAGCTGTGATACCTAACAAACTGTGTATATATATAGTACGGCAAACAACCTAATTCCCCTATATGCTACTGGCCTTAAATTAAAGCAGAATAACAAAATTATTCTTACGATTGGTAGACCTGTTTAGCAAACAGGGGTTCAAGGGTTCAAGTCAGCTTGAGCTTAGTGGCCTGACTCCCAGCTGTTTGATTGTTATGATTTTGAGTTATCAATTCAGGTTATTGAGTTTATTCAAACAAATCTTTTTACCTTTTTAAATACACTTTTCTTTCGTAGTCTGTGTGGTCAGAGATGTTTAGTTAATTATTGTAGTAAAACGGTAGGTAGTTGCATTTAGTTTGTATTTAACAATAAATACGTTATGGTATCCCTTTTTTATCAAACCCAAGCTATTAGCATAGCCTAGATTAAAGGAGTAGACAAATCTTTGGACCCAAAAATAGCTTTTTACCTAAATTTAACATTGTGTGAGGTATGATCCCTCAGGTATCTAGGTCTAGATTAGCCTACTCCTTTAACCTACTTGCTCTTAGTAGTTTAAACAAAACATACATTATTTCTTAGTTCATATTTTAAACACTGTACACATAATCTAGTAGGCCTAGTTTCACTTCCAAATATTTTCATTTGTTCCAGCTTCAACAAACTGTTGCTCCAAAAAGAAGAACTGGAGCAAAAACATCTTCACTTGCTGCAGATTGTGGAAAGCGAAAAGACAGCAAAGTGGCAGTACACTCAGCAGTGCGAAGAGCTGGCCTCTGAGATTAAGAAACTTAGAGCTGAGGTAAGTTTAAGTATTCTTAAGTTAGTCTTTAGCTTTATTTGGACATTCTAGGCCTAAACTTATTTAATTGTTTTTGTATGCCATTATCATTTTTTACCATAAAACAATCCAAACTTGGTTTTTATTACTACGTTTACCTTTTGTTAGACTGCATCCCCGATGACTTTTAATGCTTTTATCTAATATCCACACCCCATAGATAACCTTCAGATTTTAAGGCGATCACTATCACCACTCGGCCACCTAGACATTTTTTTGTTTAGGCCTAAGTTACTATAGGAACTGTAAGTTAGACCTTAGTTAACTCCCGATGGGAAAAAATAATAATTAATTGTGTTCGAGCTAACCTTGTTTTAAATCAGAATGTTGCCGGTTTGATCTCATAACAATTTATTCTATTTAACTTAACAACTTTTTAAGAGTCCTCGGAGGCTAGAAACCATCTTGGATTATTTCAAACAACTGTTGAAGAGTTATTTAATATCATAGAAAAATTTTTTTTTCTCCAAGGACTCTCAACTGTTAACCCACCCCCCTTGATCATTGGATATTAATGAACGGTCTAGACTTTAAAGGTAGTTTATTGTAGTTGATAACAAGATATATATCTTTTTTATTTTATGAAGACTCATACGGTAAAATACTTCACTTACCTTTTCCTCAAATTTTACACCCAGATGTCCGCCAGAATATGAATTTGGAGAAGGTGTAACTTATTATTTGGTATTGGTGGAGAGTGGTAGGATTTAATCTGAACATCCCTCAATGCAAAATTCTGTCGGCTTCAAATGTGATTCAATCTTTTACCTATGCTCTATACAAAAGAAAAAACAAGATTAAAATAAAACATTAATTGCTTATTTTTGTGGTTTCCTACACTTGTAGGAAACTTCATAAACTAACCCTGTCAAGCAAATAGTCTGTCTAAATTTGAAAGATGAAGATTTCAGAAGCATAGCTGGACATCCAGTAATCCCTTCGACCTCTTTAATTAATCTAGAACTTTTTAATGAATAAATTATGGTCTAAATTAATTACATGGTTAAGCTTATTTATGATTTATATAATATACATTACTTTGGAGGAGTTGAGAATTAAGGACCTACAACCCATACCTTCGTGTTTCTGAGACCAACAAAGTTGTAAAGGGAGAAAGAAAATTATAAAAGATAAGTAATTAATCTTTTCAAGGGAAGGAAAGAAGCACTTCCTGATAAATTAGTTTATCAAGGAGTTCTTCCTTCTTGAATTAAGTAGCAGTAATTTAAATTAACAACTGAGTCTATTTAAGATTGACTTCACAATTTTCAGTTTGCTGTTTTTTTAATGTATTTTTACCTACTAACCAAAACAAATTGATCACATTGTTTTGGTTTCAAGTCGTAAATAGTCATTCATAAGGAAGAAATAACTATCTTTTGTGGTTATATTTCTGCTAAAGAGTGAATGCAATTGGTAGGCTTATATAAATAAGACCCAAATCTCAGAAAATGGGTGAATAACTTTTAAAACAAAAATCCAACAGTTGCTGACATTATTTTGGCATACACATGTAAGTTTTATGTTATTATTATGAAGTATCCAGTTATTATTTGTAATAAAATTGTTTTAGCACATTTCATTTAAGTTGCCGTATCTTAGTTTATTTGTAATAAAATTGTAAAAATATCATAAATACAGAGGAGGTGGTGAAAACGATGGCTTTGCTGTAATTTTAAAATAAGTAAAATAGCCTAATAAGCTATTTTTAGATATTCCTAACTTTCACTATTCATTAAAATAATCTGACATGAAATAGCCTAATAATTCTTCTTTCTTAAGAAATACATATTTTTAACTTAAAATAAACATTGTTCAACCTACCACCTTAATCCCACCATCAAACTCCTCTATTTACACAAAGTACAACGTGATACTAAAAAAAAGTACGAGAGCAAGGTCACGTTTCAAAATGACGCAGTTAAATGCTTTAGAAGTCAGTCGAGGTTTTAAAGAATCTTAATTACTGTGAAAAGGTCGTTCCTTCAAAGTCCAAAAGCCAATTTGTTTTGTTTAAGTAATTAATTAGTTTGTAAAAAGTGAACTGGAGCTCTTTGAACGGTGCCCGCCCTATGTGAACTGAAACTCGTTTTTAGACGGTACAGATAAGTTGAAGCGACTCTAAAGCGTCTCGTCTTTCAAAAGCTACTCTTCCTGTATCTCGTAGTGGGTATTTAACATTTTAAGAGAACTCTGGTATAGAGTTTTATAAACTATTAGAAGGAAAGGTGGTAAATACAGTATTAATTTGATACTTTAACTAATTATTGAGAGTCATCATAGTTTCATTTGATTAATGTATTTCAATAAGTTTTGCAAAAAGTGCCATTTTATCAGTTTTAAACAAAGGGTTACAAAATTAAAATTGAAAAATAACAGTTTAAATTTTTTTTCTTTGCACAAATAAGATGTAACAGCCCACACTATATATTAAAAGTAAATTTGTGACAGTAATATATACAATACCTTTTAACACTTATACAAATTGAATAATTTTTTTAGTTAGTCATAGTTTTATTTTTGAATCTAAACAGGTTCCAGTTGTTGCAGTTAGTTCTCAAAACAAGGTCTGTTTTATTCGAGGGACGGTTGCAGATAATTTTCACAACATTTGGTATTTGGAATCTGAATCCATGAAAAGGTAGTTCTGATTTCTAAAACTTAACATAGGCCTAACAATTTCCTGCTTCGGCAGAGTTTTTATAGTACTAATCTTTTTTTTACTATCTTACCCCTGAGGATGGGATCAGATTCCAGGTTCAATAACGAAAGTCGAAAACTGCTTATTTAAGAGAAGAAATAATGAAATTTGACTTCATTAAGAGAAGCAATCTTAAAAAATAACTTTTTAAGAGGAGCAAATCATCCGTGGTATAGCTTTTCTCGAACAAGTTAGTTTTCGTATTGCTTCCCTGAAACAGGTCAGTTTAAATAATCTTTGTTGTTGACAGTTGTGCGCCCTCAAGAAGGAGTGGAGGCCGGTACCGTCGTCCTACAGCAGTAGCAGCAATGTGGCTGCGGCGACTGCTAGTGGCGCCAGCGGGGCGGCACCCATCTCTGCGGCTACGGCACAAGAGACACTGGAGCTACGCAAGATCAAGAAGGTCCAGAGCTTCTTTCGAGGCTGGCTGTGCCGACGTCGGTGGAAGCAGATCGTAGAGCAGTACATCAAGAGTCCCCACGCGGAGAGTATGCGCAAACGAAACAGGTGAGGCTGTTGGTTGTACTTATTACGTCAAGCGGAACTGTGCTATTTATATAATATTCAACTTTGTTCTTATCATTCTAGTTAGCTGGTTTATTCAGCTAAATTGATAATGCACACTGCAATAGTCATGTAAGGCCCCAGCTCCAGATTCAAATCTATAGTAAGAGGGAACTTTCTAATAGTCCCTATGTGTATTTTTGTTTTCAACATTTGTATGAATGAAATGATTTTTTTGCATTGTATCAGGATTTATAAGTTCTTTGTCAATCAGGCTAAATATCTTTGTAATTTTTTTTTATCTTGTTTGTTGTTTTTTTAGTTTTTAAATAAATTTCTGGAAGTAAACCTAATCTTACTATTTTAATTAGTTTTTCCTTCACAAACGTGTAACTTGTTTAGATTCATTTTGACTGGCAGATAAGCCGGACTGCCATGAAAGCTCACATCAATACACGTACTCTCGACTAAGGGATGAAAACATGAAGCATTCAAGAGCCTTCCTTTACGCTTTCATCATTTAAGAGCTCTACAAACTGTTTTGTATGATTGATATCGAGTTCATTTAAATTAATTGTAAACTGTTTTAATCTTTGTATTCTGTTATTGAGTTAGTTTTAAAGTATTATAGCCTATATTGCTCTAAAATTTTAGATCGATTAAATAAATACTAACACTGTTTTATTATTGTTGTGAGTAATATTTGGTTGGTTTAAATTTTTTGGATTTTCTGTTATTTGACTATACTAGGTTTTTTTACTGTATTACGCCTTTAGGTACAGTGGAAACAAAATTGTTATTTTAGTTAAAACTAATAGATTAATTTTTTTCAACTTTTATCTCTCCGTCAGCCATAAAAAATTGTATTGGGTTATTCTACAGAAAGTGAGAGACCACAGATTTTTTTCAAAATGTGATGCCCCGTAAAAAATAAAATATAATAAGAAAAAAAGTTTATAAATACATTGTAACAATAAAAACAACTAATAAAGGTATTACCTCCCAATACTTATCAATTATACTACATAAGAGGTTAAATACATGACATGCCCGCGGTGTACATGTGACGTGCTATTATGGGTCCTGAGAGATGAATTTTCCCCCTTCCTAGCACGGAATTTTTTGCTTCCTTGCACCCAACCCTTAAAACCTCTTGCAGCCATGATACCTGATTGCCAAAGTAATCCATGGTCGTCTGAACAGCATCGTTTGAAGACTTTCTGATGATCTAGGATTTATAACATCATGGTTTAAGGCTTGTCAGTGAACCGAGTATAACTCTGATAACAAGATATTTCACCTCTTGTATAGTATGTATGTATGTATGTATGTATTGTATAGTAAGCAGATCTTTATTTACTAAATGTTTTCTACCATTTGCATTTCACAGCTTGGTGTTCCGCATGGTGGAAGCAGAAGAAGAGTATATGGAGCAGATGGAGGTGTTAGTCTCGTGTTTCCTGCGTCCATTCAAGATGGCCGCCTCCAGTAAAAAGCCTCCGTGTTCTCATGAGGACGTGAACTCCATCTTCCTCAACAGCGAGACTGTTTTGTTCCTACACCAGATATTCCTCAAGGGTCTCACGTCGAGAATGGAGAGCTGGCCTACTCTTGTACTCGGTAGGGATCGTCTTAGAGCGAACTTTGAAAATTATGTGTTTACAACTAGGTATGAAAAGGTGTTTAAGTTATGTACTGAAAATTTTCTGAGTATTTGCTTTAGTCATTGGATGTAGATACTACAATTTCATGTTAAAGTTGCTGCTTTTTACAATAAGAAATTTACTTTGTCTGAGCCACCGACAGAGTGTGCTAGTATCAAATACAGTTGAGTCCCACAAACTCGGCGTAATGTGGACTGGAAGGGTGCCAAGTTTGTGAAATGCCGGGTTATCGGGAACTAGGGTTAAAAATAAGAACAATAAAAATTTTCAATCTTTTACCTGCCTTCTTTAGTTATATTTATAATACAAGTCAGTATTAAGTCATCAGATATAGTACAACAAATCCTTTTTACGAGTTGCGAACGATTTGACTTGAGCTGGCTTGAGTCCATGTTGAATTCGGACTCAACAAATCACTAATTTTCTGAGCCAGGTAATAGCCGAGTTATCCAGACTGCCGGGTTATCGAGTGCCGAGTTTGCGGGACTCTACTGTACTTATTTCTGGCATATACTTTACAAGCCAGAAGGACGTTATTGTAAGCTGTAGCGTCTTTTATGTCAAATCAACTATTACAGTAAAGGGTTGGATAGAACTGTAGTCAGGAGCACATTTTGTGAGTGGTTTATTCAATTATGTTCTTTCTTAATACCAAGTCCTCTTAAGCTATTCCTTTTTTATGGGAAGCCAAAACCAGTCCTGCTAATCCAAACAATATGTTTGGGAAAGAGATTATACAGTATCTAAATTTAAAACAAAGTTACAAACAAGAACCCTGGACCAGGGTTCATAGCCTACCACAAACCTGGGAAACCACGAATTGTGAATTTTGATGACAGGGAAAAGTCTGCGGATTGTTCACGAGTTTTTATGGAACCGAGAAATTTGCAATAGTTGCCAAGCCCCTATTACTGAGCAACCTTTCAGTCCTGGTGTTCTAGTGATTCTCTTTTTAAGGTTGTGTAAAAAGAATACGATCACGGGAGATGATTAAGGTGTTGTCTTGATTGTGGGATCATTACAGTTGGGCAATGCAATGGTTAGCGTCTTCAGTGTGGTAGGGCCGGGTTCGATTCCTGGAATATCAATAAAACATAAGGGTCTGGACCACTTTCCCTAAAAGCCTTAAAGTACTTCCTCTTGTGTTTCCTCATGTAAAAATGCCATTGGTGTGGATATCAAGGAAAAAATACATGGCTATAGTAGTAATATATTATTTTGTTTTATTTGCAAATTTACTGCATTTCCAGTTAATCTGCAACAGGATATAGTCCCAAATAGGTTGGATGGATCGATAAATGGACCTCTGGCGTGCTTCAGTAAAAGTCAATGGCAGTAACGAGCCCAGAATTTAGACTGTTCCCTTACCCTCCACGGTGCTTAAATGTCAATAGTGTAAAATACACAAAGACTTGGAACCCAAATTTGTATGGATAAGAGTTTTTTATTGGCCACATCTGGTCCATAAATATTTATATTTCAGTATGCAAATGGCTGCAATAAGAACAGGTTTTGGACAAACAATGTCAAAGGCATAGAAACACGTAACGACTTAATGCTCAAATTATTCTGGATTGATGAGGATTATATGTATTTTTTTGTTAAGGTGACCTGTTTGACATGCTGCTGCCAATGCTGAGCATCTACCAGGAGTATGTACGCAATCACCACTATAGTCTGCAGGTGCTTACGGAATGTAAACAGTCGCCACAGTTTGCAGCATTGCTGGCCAGACTGGAGAATAAACCTGCCTGTCAGGGAAGATCTCTGGAGACCTTCCTCACCTACCCGATGCATCAGGTGAGAATATCATCAAGAAAAACTATTTTGTATACAGTTATCTTAAAGAGTGGCATTTTGTTCATTTAGTGTGCAAAACAGCTGATTTTTAAAGATTTGTATTTCCCATTCGCCTTCTACTTTGCTCACTATGAATGTCGAGTTAACAAAACAAATATTACTGGTTGATGTTGAATATGCTAATTCAAACTGATTTGACGAATAAATAGCATCTTTTACATCAGCTATCTAAAAAACAAAAACTAAAAGGGGAAAAGTAAGGAATTCGTTGAAAAGGAATAGAATTTAATTTAGCTAACTTACCTGAGAAAATTATATTCAAAAGCTAATAGATAAACGCAATAAACACAATAAAAGAACACTAAAGAACACACTGATTTTTAGTCCTGATGTAGGACTTCTTCATATTTCAACCTTATCATTTAAGTTTCTCTTCAACTTACCACCCAAAGAATTCCTACAACAGAAAGAAATGTTAGTGTTATATGTTTTGTTATTTTATTGTGTATCCATTAGATCCTGGACTTATATTTCCTCATGTGAGCTAGCTGAACTTTATTCCTTTAAAAAAAAAACTTGTTAGGTCTATTCAATTGCCTTTTTTTCAAAATATCTGGGGAAAATAGAATTTTAGGCAGTAACACTGTAAATGACTCGATGTTCTTTTTGAATGAAATATAGGCTACAGATGGTCCAAGGAACTCTTTAGAATCCAACAACCAATGATTGTAGTTAACGGCTATTTTGTTGCTTTAAATAATAATAATATGTTTATTGTCGTAAAACAGTTAGCACTGACAAAGTCATACAGTACAGTCTGAGACAGACATAGTCTAGTCAATATATGATTATATTAGCAATGAATTGTTAAAATGTGTCATTTACACGGATCTGTATAACTAACTAATTAACGTCTTTTTCAGGTGCCCAGATACATAATCACGTTGCACGAACTGCTCGCTCACACTCCTCACGATCATGTTGAACGGAAGAGTTTGCAAAACGCTCGTCAGCAACTTGAGGACCTTTCTCGTCAAATGCATGACGAGGTACGCATCCTTAGTTTGTCTGAACACTATTATACATGACATTATCTAATTTCTCATTATTGAAATCCTTACCTCTTCCGTTGCTATTTAAATTTCACCTTTTGTCATTAATTTGTCTTCCGTTATCTTCGTATGTTTTCCACTTCCTATTCCTTATCCTCTACCTCCATGTAATCATCTTTGTCTTGTCTTGTGAATTTGTTTGTACTCAAATAATACATCTTTTGTATTTTCTCTTTAGGTATCAGTTTTCATAACCAAACCATGGCAATTTTATTCTTTTGCAGCTTTGCATATTTTGTTCCCAGTTATATTCTTTGCCTCTCTTTTTATATTCTGTCCTGCTCAGAAGCGAGTTGGGAAAAAATTCTTGGTACCAAAAGTGTTGTTATTTATATATTTATATTGCAGTGTATTGGATTACATTTTTGGTTGTGTGATACATCACATTAATTGTCTAAAGCTCACCTTTTTTATTATTTTTATTCGTTTGAAATTTCATTTTTGAGAAATTATTTATGTCAAATAGTTAACAATACCTCAATGGCATAGCACTTAAGAATATAGAGTCTTCTTTTTGTTCATTTTGGATTTTGTTTAAGTCATTTTAAGTTTTTTTTTAAGGACAATGAAAGTATCTTTACTGAATTATTTATACCTTCAAAGAACTTTGGAACTATGAAGGAGCCACATGGTATTAGAACTTCTTAGTAAACAAAAATAAAGTTGTAACTCTGTTAGATTTAAGAGAAAAGGGTAAATATAAAACTGATCCAAACCTGTTCAATATAGACCGGTGCATCAATTTTAAATCAAAATAGGGGTGTAAAGGTTTTCCGATAGCTATAAATTGTGCTAAAACCATTTCAGGTTTTACTTACTTAAATCTTAGGCTCATATTTGATTATTTATTGGCAATGATTAAATCATTTAACACAATTTACACTACATTGTTGTATCTTCAGAATTCCTTGCTAGGCAGCAAGTATCAATTTGGGACACGTAGTAAATGCAGAGTCGAATCATCTTTCATGCGAAGGCTTGACACTTTAACATAAACTCCTCATCGTTCACTCGCAATACAGTATAATCGTGACATTGTACATCTTTACAGGTTAGTGAAACGGAAAACTTGAGAAAAAACTTGGCTGTAGAAAGAATGATCGTAGAAGGCTGTGACATCCTGCTAGATGTCAACCAAGTTTTTGTCCGCCAAGGTACGATCGGCATCTATGTTTGTTGTCTCATCACTTCTCCATAAACTCATTTTACTTTGGCTTCTCACAAAATTCTTTATCTTTGAGGTTTCGCAGTATGATCTTCCATCACTTCCGCTAAAGTCTTCATTCCATTTCCACTTGTAGTGCATGTATAGTGTTTTTTTCTAGATCGGTTCGGTATTTAGATTCAGCTAAGACTGTTTTGGGTTAGTTTTGAGTTTATAACCATTTCGTATGCATGAGCATTGTTCTAGTTTTAAATGCTGTTCTGTGTTGGGGGATATTATCCAAGGATTTCATTCTTCTCGATGTTTTATGTGTGTAAATGTGAATTATATAAATAGATGTGGAAGGTGTGTTGTGAAAAAAGTTAAAAAATTATGTACCATATTCAAATTACATCAATTGGCTTAGGAGTATTGTACACTTGTCTTCATTTGATCAATTATATTTACTAGAATCAATATTACATATACCCTGGCTAGGTTTTTCTAAAGATATTTGATAAATGGTCATCTAAAACTCCTCGAAATTTAAGGCTGTCAAGTTGAAGATCTTGACAAATTTACCAATTGGAAAATATTCTTTGAGGATCCTATTGTATGTCTTCTGCTAATTTTGTCCAATCGGCAGCATAGTACCTAAAAGCCACTCCAAGTATTCATTTACCATACGTCAGGGCGTCACACCAACATAAACATGAAATTGTTACATATACAAATTCGTAACAAGTCATACCAACAAATTCAGTAAAATCAACTTATGTTTATGGGATCTTTAGCTCAGGGGCCATTAGTGTTTTAGCTAGATGTATTATTCTCATTCTTGGGTGTTTTTAAGAATTGGCTGTTAAGGTGATGACAGTACGTTGAAACTCTTACTTAGGTGTAAGAATAGAGCTATGTTTGCTATTCTCTTTGTTTGATATATATAGGCCTACATATTTTATTTGTTTTTATGTTGAATGTTTTATGCATGCCACTTTTAAGGGTCCATAGAAGAGTGGTATAAAAAGTTTAATGTTGGTATGGTAAACACAATGTTTCTTAGTTTCCAAAATTTTCCAAATATTGTATATTTTAGTTTGGAAGTAGTAAGAAATAATTTGTCATTATTTGGAAAAATGTTTACTGTACCAATAACGATAAAAGAAACTGAGATGACTGTACAGTGTACAACAATGATTATTGAACCATACGGATGGCTGTATATTTGCATTACTTTACTATACATAGATTATGGCACTGTTTGGATGATAAACCGTATGATGACTATGCAGGGAGAACAATTGCATACTATGATGGTATTGTACACTGTAGTGTACACATACCTTACATACAGGTGACTGTACAGTACAAATTTTGGTACTGTACTAATAACAGCCTACAGAAAAGGTACAGAGGAAACATTCAATGGTACACTATCGCTGGTGTCTAGGGTGAAGTCCAATATGGCCCCCTCGCACTCCTGTACTACAATGCTCATGGTGGAGGAAGACCCTGTGCCCTGTTTTATAGGAATTTCTGCACAATGCTCGCCTCTCGGGCTCTTCCTTGTTAGTCACAAGTATATTTCCTGCACAGTGTACTAGATCTGAAAGCGCACAGTCGCCCAATAAGCTTGTTTTCTCTGTACCTTACGTCTCTGTGAAAGTGCCGAGTCTATACCTTGTGACTGTACCGTTACAAATTGTGGTTCTGTACTCGTAACAGTGTACTAATGACTGTACCATAAAACTAATGACAATTGTATTGTACAGTTATTGTAATACACCGATGACACTGCTATAGGAGGAAACCACCATACTGTAATAAGTGGCTTATAAATCTCTTACTTTCCAGGAAGCCTGATACAGATCCCCACCGACAAATGTAAATCCCAGCGAAGCCGCTTCGGAATTAAGTCTGAGAAAGAAGCTCTTCGCCAATGTTTTTTGTTCTCCAATCACCTTATTATTGCTACAAGGTGGGTGATTTTGCAAACTTAAGTTGGCTAAAGCCTGTAATTTTTTACAGTTTGAGGAATATTGTACTACTTCACTTGGTAGTTGGTGCAAGTAACAAGTACCTAAAAAGTGATAAGTTCTTTAAAAGTCATTGAGTAAAAAACACAAACATAGGTTAAATACTTAAATTTAGTTGTTTTTCAATAATCCCAACACCACCCTGGTTCCACTAGTGTCGGATTATGAAGAGTCAATTGTAGTATTAACGAGAAGCAGTATTCCATTATTTTTAGCATGAAAAGCAAGTTAAGCGTACCTTCACTCAAATAGTAGGTTTACTACAAATCATAATGATTCAACTAAATACTACACAGATGAGTAATTGACTATAGATTCCTAATTAGACTTGGTAAGTAGAGATGGTGGGTCATCAGCTCAGATGATTGCCACCAACTCTGTGAAAGCAAAGATCATTTCTGGTGTGCTTGATTTTCTACTCTTGACTTTAGTTAGATACTTAACTGATAATTGTAGATTACGTTCCCTAGTTGAACGTTTAGCATTCATTTGTCTTTATGTACTGAGTTAGACATAGTAGCTATAGACCAGCTGTTGCTAGTTTATTCAAAAGGAAAGTAGTTGAATGACCCCTCGTAGAGTGTGCTTCTATTAAAGTGCTGTAGTCTCTTTAGTTTCTCATATTGTTACGATAGTTGATGGGACATAGCACACTTTATATTATAAATGGCTCAATTTTAACATGCGTAATGGAATGTCTATCTCACAAGAGTATCCAACGAGTTTTGTGTTCACCCGAGCTTTGAGTTGACCTGACTTTTTGTACGGATCCAAGTTTTGTGTTGACCTGAATTTTTTTGTTAACTTAGTTTTATGTTGACCAAGTTTTTTGTTGCCCCGACTGTTTGTGTTGCTCTAACTTTTTGTGTTCATCCAAGTTTTGTGTTGACTAGAGATTTGTGTTTTACCAGGAGTCTGAGTTTTCTGTTCACCCGAGTTTTTTGTTGATTTGAGTTTTTGTGTTGACACGAGTCTTGTGTTGATCCAAACTTTGTGTTCACCCTATTTTTGTGTTAGACCAGAGTTTGAGTTTTTTATTGACTCGGATTTTGTCCACAGGACCTCCGGGGGCAGGCTGCACCTGGTCACAGACGTAGGCAAGATCCCGCTCGCAGACGCCATCCTCATCGAAGATCCTAACGATCATGGTGTGAACGATGATGATGGTAACATTAATTACGTTTATTCCGGTGGCCTACAACTGTGCCGCTAGACGCTTCGGGTGACACCCACCTATCTCGCACTCGGCTCTGCTTTCTTCTTCTTCTTCTATTTCTGCAATATTTGTTTGAGGTCGAACAAGAACAGGACGGCCGAGTTGGATGCTTAAAGTTTTTAATTCATGATTTTTTTGTTTTATCATCTGATTTTTAAAGGAAAATTTTTTATTTACATGCTCTGCTAAAAACATTTTTAACACTCCAATAGTTGTGGAAATAACAAAAAGGTCACAAAAAAACTAATACAATCAAAGATCGAGGCTTTTAAAGAGTTCAGAATGTTGGGTTTTTACAGTGCCATTGAAAACAAGTTTTATTATTTTTCAATGGTAACGCCTAAAGCTTTCCTTGTTTGCTTAGATAATAATATGTTTTTATAACAACAAAAAAACCTGGCGTTGTCCATTGTCAAATGTAGTTTTGTGTTATTCCCCATATTAAATTATATCATAATTAAATATTCCCAACTTATTTTTAAAATAACAATACTCTGACCTCGGTGTTTTGTTTTTATCAACTAACCCATCAAATTATAATTCTGTACTTTTATTTTAAAGCCCTTTTAACTTTAACGATCAATCTTTACAATTAAAACATCAAATGTATAAGGAGCGCTTAACATTCGCAAGTAGTGCTTAATCTTGTCAAAACACTTAATGTAAAATTAATGTTCCAATCTTTTTTTTTTACTTTTAACAACCATACAGTAACTTGATTTTACAGTCAACTAAAATAATTTTGTCTATAAGGCAAGGTTTTACTTACAATGAAAAATACAGTAAAAATGGGCAATAATAGATAAACAAATTTCCTAAAGTTTAGTTTGTTATATTGAGGCTGTTTAAGCACAAGGGAAATCTTGTGATGAGCACAGTAGTCGCAAATGCCACCACTGTTGCTGTTACCATGGTGATTAGAGTAGTGTGGGCCATCTTAATCGCCCACAGAAGGCGGTTTTTCGATGTAAGGTACGAACCTACCTGTCAAAAGAAACCACATGTTAACTCAAAGCAAATTGCATCAAGTAAATTATTGTCATTATCGCAAAATTATACATTTTTAATTAACTAAAATTGTGTCTACGTATTTTTAACTCAATTTTAAAGTGAACTTTATTTTAGTTTTTTAACCGCAAGGTAAAATTTCAATAATTTTCTGTTGCATTATTTGTAAGTTTTAGGTAGAGCCCCTGAATTTGCACCAAATTTGACAAAATGGCCACTTTCAAGCCCCAAAAGTCCTACATTATTCGTCAGAATCATTTAACAATCTTACGTGTCAATTTCTATTTTAATATATACCTAATCCAATCAAATAAAATTGTTTAAATTAATTTGTTCACCAAACGCACACTATTTTTATTTGTTTAAAAAATTAAACCATAGGCCTATAGACTCTATTTTTTCACTACTACCTAACCTTAAATAAATTATTGCGGATGCCATCAGTCTATTACATATTTTGTATTATAATATCTATCCATATGATTTCATCAACATAGCATGGATTTCATATTTTCTTCGTCATAAGTAAGCATGTTCTATACATTGTTCAATGGCATGGTGATAGGTTGACATCGTTAGACGACATGTAACACTCTTGAGCATGGTTATCATTACGTAAAACTTTACATTACGTAAAGCTTACTTTTCACATTTCTTCATGTAAAGCTTTGTTACATTACTCTGTTTTGTGTAAATTACACTTTACAATTTCTATTTTCATACTTTGTAGTAAAAAGATTAATTACTAAGGGAATTTTTGTTTAATCCGGTAAACAAAAACATATAAGTTGACGTTTGATAATGTTCTGGTTGATCATATTTTTACTAGTGATTAAGAAGAAGTACACATTACAACTCTAAAAATTACCAACCAGTTACGGTATTTGAAGGAACAGTCTACTGTTTTGGTTTTAATAAAAAATCAAACACATTAATTGGGTAGTGCAGTGGTAAAAAGGGCTTAACTCAAATTTCAAGTTTGCTGGTTGAATCTTACAAAGGATTAATACTGGACCTAACCATTCTTACAATTTTCATTTGAAAAAATTATGATGCTTAGCATTACCATAATGGTGTGGTTATGGTGCTCACCTGCAGGGTTGCCACCTTAATGTTAGGGAAAAATCGGGACATTTTCCCCCTCCCCCCGAATTAACATAGGCTTCTATAAGGGCATAAGGAACCAAAATTGGGACTGTTCCGGCAGAATCGGGACGAGTGGCAACCCTGCCTTTAAGTAAAATGTTAATGTTGTTTATTTGATGTCAAGTGTGGTCGATTCAGGACCCGGATGTCATTCGTCATTGAGCTATCCTTTAATAACCTTTGCAACAATAAAAGGCCAATGATAGATTGTAACAAGACTAAAGTTTGGACCGTTCCCTAAAAAATAACAAAAATATTTCCAATATAGAACTTGAATAAAAACATAGAATAAAGTATTACGACCAGGTTTTATTCTGTTCCCTTACAAACATATTTTTTAATACCTTACCATTTATTTGAAAACACAGTACAGGGAGGGTAGATAAATACTTTTAAAGTAAATTTCTAAAATAAAGCTATCTTGACAAAAAATAAAAAATAACGTAACTTAAACATTTACTTAACATCTGTCAATGAAATTTACCATGGGGTGTTTTGCTATGCTAGTAGTTAGCGTCTCGTTCTTCAATAAGAAAAAGACAAATTTAACCCCTGGCATCTACAAATATTTGATAGTTTCTGACCACTTTACCAATAGTGTTTGTGACTCCATTGAAAATTCCACTTGCATTAAAACTAACCAAAATTGTTTTCTTAAGTACTTAGTAGTACGTAGCTATGAACATAAGTTAACTCTATAATTTGTTTTCAGACTGCTCAATGTCCAGCCATTCCAGTAGCCATAGTGAAACCTCCAGCACAGGATGCAATTTTCAAAATAGAGACTTCAAAATTATTTTAGACATAAAAAGTGGTAACCAGTCGCAAGTGTCTGTTCATTTGGTGGCGCATACCCTGCAGGAGAAGGCTGCATGGGTCAGTGACATTAGCCAGGTGAGTTATGTCAAAAAAATATCTGTTTAAATAAAATAGTAAATGTAATAGATTTGTTATGCAAACCCTTACTCTGGTAGGCTGTGTTTAATGGTAAAACTTCGCAGATTCCAGAACATAATGTTTTGTATTCATTTTAATTCCTTCAGATATCTTCAGGGCTGCTTTAATAAAGTACAATTTTCTTGCCCTCAGGGGCGCAAGAGGGTTTAGAGGGTTGGGGACGCAAGGAAGAAAAAAGTTTCCCCACAAAGTAGGTGGAGAGAGGCAGGCGGGGCAGACTGGGCATATGCCCAGGGGCGCCGGTGGTTGGGGGGCGCCCGAGGGGCGCCCTGAACCACCGCCCGCACTAGGAAAAATAGGGTTTTATCAGCCGGGATTTCAAAAATAAAATGGGTGATTTCAACTTGTAGTTAAGTGATTTTCCCTTATTGCAAAAGTAAATAAATACAACAAAATTGAAAATACTCGACCTTCAGATTATACCTCGTGTAGTCAGGGAAAGGCAGGCAGCAGTGTGAACCGGGCGCACTCACTATACTATCAGAGGCAGGGAGGCCTGCATGGTGGAAGGAAAATACATAGGTATGCTATTCCCATCATATGCTGACGTCACTCAGATTGCAAACACCATTTTACCATTGAGAAAAATTATAAAAACAATAACAATCAAATCAAAACAAATATATACTTATATGGCAATACATCAGCTGATTTTTTAGGTGACGTATGCAAATTACGGGAATAGCATGTAGGCCAGCTGTAGTCTACAGGCCTACGTTCACGTGAGCCCCCTCTCCATCCCAGTCCCGACCCCATCCCCACAAGTCACAATCACAACTAGGTACCAACTACCGCGCGGCGCCAGTCCAGTACAGTACTCCACCCTCAGTAGTCAGTAGGTTGTGTTCGTGTTGTGCCTGCTGCACAGTCTTCAAATCAGTCACAACACAACCTAAAGTCAGTGTTGACACTCACACTACAGTTAGTGAACCAGTAATAAATAAATAGAGAAGGTGTTGATACAAGTAAGTAGGCCTATAAACAGTGAAAAATGCATAAAAAACCTAGTGGAGCCGAGAGCCGCAAGCGGTTGGCTCAAAGAAAACAAACTCAAGGAGCAGTTTTAAAGAACGTGAGTGAAGAACGTTTTAATGACTGGCTTATTAACCAGTATTTCCATTGATACGGAATTGAAAACTCCCTCCCGAAACAAAACTGGTAAAAAACACGCTAATGTATAAATATATATATGCATAGGCCTACAGTAGAACCATGGAAAAAACATACTCCTTAGTAGAATCTCGTGTGTAATGCAATGAACTGTACTGTACTGAACAGTGAACAGTAATCCAATCACTGCGTAGTGCATTAAGATTGGTGCAGGGCAAGAGGCATTCACATATAGCAACTTGTCAAGTTCATTGCACTCACCCCAACCTACCTGCAGTGAATTTCGGCGAACTGATGAGTCAACCCCCCTTCCCTCCTCCCCACCCTACACTGCTGTGGTCAAAACCTTTATAGTTATAATATATATATAAGGGGGGCGCTGCTTTTGGGTTTGCCCAGGGCGCCACTGACCCTTAACGCGGCCCTGGAGAGAGGTGTAATCACCTCTCAGGCCTATAGTGCATCACATGCAAACCTCAGGCCTGGATATCTTTGATAAAATATACATTGTGATATAACTTTCAGAGATTTTTCACATTTGTAAAATTTCAATTTGTAGTTTTAGTAAAATGAATAAAATTTATAAAATAAATAACATTTAAGGATAGACACCTAACTATGCCACATACTACTGTGCAGTATTAAATGAGGAAATATAGATTGTATGAAGTTATGTAGCCGCAAAAACGAGCTTGTATGTTCAGTTAAAAATAGCTTTCCACATTGTAATGTTGAACTTGTCCACAGTGCATGGACAATGTACACTTCAACGACCTTCTCCACAGTAGTATGTCCGATACCTCCTCCGTAACAATGCCTCAATCGATCAAGAATGACCCGAAACTATTCAAAGACGATGTCGACATTCGATTCAGCAGAACTCTAAACTCCTGTAAAGTGAGTATCTGCTTTTTCTTGTTTATTCCAAGATAGCTGTAATTTTAAATATTCAAACATGTACAAGATTTTGTATTGTGATTCGATGTTTAGTCTTTTTTGAAGTAAAGATGTGTCAATTTTCTAAACATTCGCATACTGCACAATTTAAAACTGGGTAGTTATGGTAAATAAATGTCAGTTGTTTGTGTAATAAAAATTAAACAATTCATGTAAGCGCTTTTGCCATACTGATCTAGTGATACCAGTCATATTTGCTGGAAACATGTAAAAAGTGTAAAGAATCCTAATTAGTGTATTATTGTTGACTTTTGGATATAAGAATGTTTTTTTTTTTTTTGTGTTTTTTTATCCTAGGACACTAGGCACGAGCCTGGGATTGTTTTTTACATTACTTCAGGCTAGACCTAGGTGTTGCGGCATTATCACATAAATAAAATCCATTGGCGATTTGGTAGGATTTGAATCCGGGACCTCTTAGACCGAAGTCCCGCGCTCTAACCACTAGCCCAGCTCGCTCCCCCTGGATATAAGAGTAGACATTGCACGTTTATGAACCAGCTGTGGTCATGAGTTCATTTGAATAGAATATAGTTTGATGAGCTGCTTACAAAGTGCTACTGTCAAAGCATTTTACTTCTCTTCATTTCCAATTCTTTGATTATCGAGGCTATCTGATTGGCTTGATTGGAAAGTCAACGTAAATGTTAGGAATCATTAACAGCAATACACTATGTCAGTGGCTCAGTTTGACTATTTTCGTTTTTATTCTAAACCTGACTACAATGTTGGTGTAAGGTGTATTCTACGCTTTGTTATCGAAGATGTTATTCAATGGCTGTTTTTATCCCTACAAATATACCATTAGTCACCGTAACCACAGAGAAATAAGTTACAGAGTAAACTTGCTTATGGGATGAACATGTGTTTTCAGTTGTAGTATTTTATTCCAGAAATATACTTGTGCTGAGCAAGGAAGAGCCCAAAGCAGTGAGCACTGTGCAGAAATTCCTATCTCAGAGGGCATAAGGTCTTCCTCCACTGTGAGCCTTGTAGTACATCTTGTAGGAGGGTGGTGTTGGCATTTTCCCTAGACACCAGCGATAGTACAAGACACCACTAAAGTGTACCATTGAATGTTTCCTCTGTACCTTACTTCTCTATGCAGTAACACAATAATATGGCAAAGAATCTATTAATACCTTAATAAGGAATAATGATGCTAGGGTATTCAAAAACCAAAATTCAACATCTAAAGACTAAATCGCTGTTCCAGGTTCCACAGATAAGATACGCCACCCCAGATAGACTTCTCGAGCGCTTGACAGACTTGCGTTTTTTATCCATCGATTTCCTAAACACGTTCCTGCTCACTTACCGAGTGTTCACGGACAGTGTGAAGGTCCTGGAGGCTCTCAAGAAGGTGTTTTACAACTCAGACCCTCCTGAAGCTCAGACATATCCTCCAGGATCATTCATGTGAGTTCAGTCTGAAATGTTCTTGAAAATTCATTCAAGTTTTTAATTGATATTTTCTACTGAGAAAGGATTTTGATTTAGATGTTGTAAGACATAGAATAAATCTTATCTTATCTATCACACTTCTACACCTATACTCTGCGTTCACATTCTGCGTTCACCATGCAGTACCGGCCTTATGGGAGATAGCCGTGTGTCATTACTGGAAACACCATACCTTCATTGTCATGAAGGTTGCATCAACTGCCCTCGTAAAAGCATTTTAGCATTTATTTGACTTATTTCTCTACCTCTATCCTTTGTACAGAGATGGATTGGTATACTTACCCAATGATTTGAATTTTTACTTTGGTATATCCACAATTGGTTGTATACAGTTTGAGAATAAATTTAGAGGTTTTTTTAGATGGCTATTGTTGAAACTCATACCACTGCACGGTGAGCGTGGAATGGAGTATATTTTGTAAACCTAATAATAATCGCCAAGAAAATGTTGGCAGGCGCCAATTTATGCTTGATTCAATTGCACATACAGTAGCTTAAACGGTTAAATTCAACCTTTTGTTATAGTCTAAATTTCTTTAGTTAGTAGATTGGTAAGTAATGTGATAATTTCAAACCTAATTTTACTCTAGAATCTAGATGCATGAAAACTAATAACATTGATCAAATGTTTTAGCAAAAACTGTTTCTACAATTCTACTTGAGTGCTACATCATTTGTGGTAAAATTAACACTAGGATGTGGGTATTTTTTCCAGGGATGAGCTGACATCATCGCTACAGCTTTACGACCCAGAGCGGCGTCGGAGCAGCTTCTCCCCTCGTCGCTTTAGCGGAGCAAGCTCTGTCTCCGGTAATAGCAATCACTTACAGAAGCTTAAATAGCCTAAAAATAAGATTTAAAAAATCATTGTAATTGATTCAATATTTGTAAGTTATTTTGTCTCAGCACCATTCTGTTTTCTGTGTACGTGTAAAGTTACGTTTAAAGTGTACGTTTTTTCAAACTATTTCGTAAGTCTTACAACGAGTTGTCCACAGGTTACGGATCCGAGATGTCCGACAGTCGAGATCGAAGTCACAGCTACGACTCCCAGGCTATGTTCCCACCCAAGTCACAACGACGATGCAGCTTTAGAAACAGTAAGTAATCCGTAACAAGTTAAAAAAACTTAAGAAATCAATAAAAACTTGGCTTTGACATAAATTTAAAATTGGGTATTGATTTGAAAATTTATATTGAGATTGTTTTTTATTCAGGGCGGAAATAGAGAAAATATGCTAAATCATTTTTACGGTACAAGCTTTGCAATGTAACATTAAAGTTCAATTCCTTTAATTTTTCATTTTGTTAACCAGCTGATTAGAAACAGATTCTGGGCTAATTATTTTTTCCTGGTCCTTACAGTGTGACGTATTGATTAGTTTAAAATGCAAACAATACAACTCTGTTGCCTATCATCAGTGGTTAAAAATTTAATCTTATTTCACTATTCCCTCAGTTGAGGAGGAGCAGCTCACAATGCCGAAGATTGTGAAAGACCCGGCAGCCTCGCTTAGTCCTCGACGCAAAGTCAGCATCCGAGTAGAGGAAGTTGACACCAACACTAATACTTCTCTGCTCACCATCCCTTCTACCATTGCTGGCAGCTCCAGCTCCGAGACACTCACTGGTATGTGGAACTGGTCATCCTGATATTCAACCCTTCCAAAATTAAATACCCCCGCAGCAAACCTATAGACTAAGCGAATTCCCATTTGGTTAATTGGATTTTCAAGGGTGTTTTTGGCACCTGGGAACATCAAAACAAAAATGTAAATTGGTCCCGGGTTTTAAGACAAGTTTCTGCAAAGCGCAGAAAAAGAGCACCAAAAGATCATGAGCCAGTTAGTTACAGTGCAAATACTAACTAGTCTGTCTACAGAATAGGGGGAAAAATCTGCTTCCTGTCATCCACATTGATGATCTTTATGCGGATATATATCTGTCATCTATCCTGGAAGGGTTAAGTCATTGATCACTAACCTATAATATGCTATAATGATAAAAGCATGTTAGGTGTATTTGCTAAAAGTATATGACTTATATAAGGTATACACTGAACAATTTGTTATGGATACAACACTGTAAATTTATCGACAATGTCACCTGTGTCTAAATGTATGTGACAATAAAGATATTTATTTCATTATCAGCATGCTATACTTTGTTACAGACCAGACGGTGATTAGTGCTCCATCATCTCCCAGCAACCAATCGACAGCCACTCTCGTACCTTCCTCAGGCTCTGACTCCAGCCAGGACCACGCCAAGGACCAGCAGCTCCCTTCGTCACCTCCCACCACCGACCCCTCGGACCTGCCCTCTAGTCCCAGGGTGACTTCCCCTAAGTCTACGTCACCATCAAGGACATCACCCTCCAGAGTCACTTCCCCGTCCAAGACACCTCCGGGGCCTGACGGAGTACCCAAGGAAGCAGAAAGGTACAGTTAGTCAATTATCTAACGGATTATTGAATCCAGGAATGTTTGGGCACTACAAAATGTAGTCAAAACTTTGTTATTAATCGTGATGGAAAATGTCCACATTTATTTCTTAAACAACATAAACTCAAACTCACGATTACCAAAAATGAAATTTAAACAGGTAACTTATTTACACAATCAGAAATACATATGACATAGCTGTACCTGTGTTGTAGCCGACATGGCCGTAAGAGGTCCAGTTTTGAGAGCAGCCATCGCAAAAGCAGCACTGTAGGGTTGTCTGAGGACCGAGCTGATTGGCCAGATGACGGAGAGATTCACGGACCTCTACCGTACAGTACAACCTCATCTCGCTCAGCGTCCATCGTGATGCAGGTTTGTACACTGACGGCCTTTAGATTGATTTATAGCACTGGGACAGACAGTAGAAGAATTTTATAACTTGTATAGCAGTTAGTTCTCTATCACATTATTGTGTTCTTACTCCTCAGGACAATGATAGGCTTGCAGCGAAGAAAATCTGTCAGGAATAAGAAAATAATTGGACAAGCCCAACACACGTTTGGTTTGGATACACTTTCTTGTTCACCTCTTCTTCACTTGGTTGTTTCTTCTAAGTTTTTGTAATATTTATTTCTCTCTTAAAATTTTCTCCCTAGTAAAAAACCCTTGATAATCTTGGATAAATAGTTTTCTACTTTGTTATTACAACTTTTGAACTTTGTACATGTTTATTATAAAGAGAGACTTAAATCAGAGTAAGTCAAACGTTGAATGGATAATAAACTGAGAGTCCACAGAAAGGCTGTGTTTCAATGAGATCACAATTTAGAGATGAATTTGCCAGCTTGTCAACCTAACATACAAACATTTTCCACAACTGTTAAAAAAACTAAAGTTTAAGTTTTTACAACATTTAAAGCTTTTTTAAAGTTAAATCAGACGAGACAACTAATAATTTAAACTTACTTAATTTACCACCTAAGTTTTTCTGTATTTCTCACACAGAACTACTACAGCGCCCGGCGATCTCTCGTGTCAAACGCAGACGGAGAAGGCATCGGAAGTGTTTCACAACGAACGAGTTTTCAGCACGACTCTCCACAACATTCCAGCAAAGCAGGGGTCGTCATCACGTCTTTCCGTCAATCCCAGCGCAGGTAAATAGAAGCTGTTAACTGTCTAACTAAGTGTATTACAGCTTATGTTGTAACTGAAATAGATAAATTAGTGAAACCGCGGTGTCCTGTGTGAAAATTAGTACAAACCAGAAATCAGAGGCTTCAAAATTAAGTTTGTGGTGATGCTTTGCTAAGCATCAAAAATCAGAAACTAAAGTTCTGTATGTGAAGGTTCTAAATTCTGTTCATATTAAAGCCTTAAAAACATCAACATACAAATTAATTTTAAGACTGTTTTGAAGATTTTTTCAAAGAAGCCGTTGAAAGAACATTTTCGCCTTTTTGAATTACACTACAATCCTTAGAGAAGATTTCTGGAAGTTGATCTTGCTAAAATAACTTTACTCAGACCTTTTTCCACAATCTGTTAATTTTCCTGTAACCCACCACCGCAAGTGATCTCTTTAAATCGTGATGCATGCAGCCTAAAGCTGTGTTTACACGAAGCCAGTTAGGCAGGCAGGTTATCTGCCTCAGATAACTTGAGAGGCAGGTAACCTGCCTACCGGTCTCTTATAAACACAGCTTAACTCTTTTATGTTTTCTGTGGCTGTGCCATTTAATTGTGGTCTCCATTTATTAAGTTTATTTTGAATTACTTGTTTTTCAGTGGACAACTTAATTTGGTTTATCGTATTTTTTTATTTAATTTACTCTCTTTCTTGTTTAATTATTTCCTTATATTTTACCGTATAATATTTAGAAATTAATCAAGAAAGAACATGAATTACTTTTCTTGGTTGCATTTCTTATTGTTTTGAGTATGAAAATAAAATAATCCATTTAGTAAAAATAAGACTTTTATAAACCCCCTACTTTCAACAGTTTGTTAAAAGAAACTTGACATAAAGATAGAAAAACTTAAACTTCCAAAGGAGTTACTCGGCATATAAAAATCTCTCAAATCATTGTATGCCTAAAGTTTTATTTTACTTTTTATAATTATCTGAAAAGAAAGTATGTTTAATCTATGAATTTGTTCTACTAATGCATGTTTTCTATTTTACATTTCTATCTTCTGCTTTCTTCTATCTTTATATCTTCAACATCTATTCTTACATGCATCCTACTATATGTACGAATGAGAAAGTCAGCTTTTTTGTACTGTGTTTCAAGTTTTATGTATGTTTGTAATTCTTGGATAACTATATATCTTTGATTCTTATAAGTTTACCTATCATGATCATAACAACCCTGAATTGTGTTTTTTTTTTCCTTATTGTCTTGCTTAATAACTTTTCAGTTTTCATTATTCATTGACATTGACTTTTTTTAATTTTTTTACTTTTATTTTTAAAGTATATAAAGTGTAGTGTAAGTGTATGCCCTGTAGTAGTACCTATTCACACTATTTTTTCTGTTTTATCTTCTGAACATATTTTTTTTTTAATGTGTTTTAAAATATGTCAATAAGCCTAATTATTTATAATATTTTAGAATTTGTTATTACAATAATGTACTGTAATTTCTTTTATAGAATTTGTTTAATCCATCAATGTCAAATGTAATTAATAAACAAAACAAGTGGATGCTGTTTTCAGTTTAGGTATTATGGCTAAATGTCAGATTGTTTTCTTAAAACATGCAAAGTTCATAATTAAACAAAAGTTTTGCTTTTTTACAGTAATGTTAGTTTGTAGTTAATTTACTATTGTTTTTCCAAGTACTGTTCATATCATTAGTATTGTAGTGTTCATTTTTAAAACGTTTTTATTAGCTCGCTTTCTTGTCCGGTACAAATTTAACCCTAAAAAGTAATAAAATAAAACTTTGTTTTAAACTAACAAAAAAACATTACTGCTCTCTAAAATAGTCAAATAACGTATCTCCTTTCTTTTTCCGAGAAATATGGTCCAGAATTTAATAGTTTATTTTATTATTTTTAAGATTATTTCAGTTTAGTATTTTAAAGTCTATTTTATTATGTTTCATTTTTTATTTTCGGTTTCTCTTTGTAGTTTTCTACCACTTGATTTTTTTATTGACTCAAACTTGAAAATATTCTTATTCTGGTTTTCAAGTAGGGTTTCGGTGGAAAGATATGGAATATTACCTTTACTGTCTATGTGTTGTGTATTTGTTATTTGTTCCTTAACCATAAAAATGCAGAAGGATACTTCAACACTTTCTAAATTTAGATATTTTATAAATATTATTTCCATGTCGATTTTACCATCATTAACGTCCTTTTTCATTGCTTGAAGCTTTGATTGTTTCTTATTGAAGTCACTGATATCAACCTTGAGATGGACTTGAAGGTTTTTAAAATCCAAGATAACTTTTAGATTGACAATTTGTTTGAAATATGGTTAAGGCTTGCTAGTGTGGAAATATCAATCGTTCACATAAGTTTCAACTTTCAACAACATTTAAAAACATCCAATTAAATTGATTTACCGGTAAGAACACTCAACTAGGTCCCTTTGTTAGAATTCATTAGTAGATTTTACTGTATAATGTTTTTCAAAGTTTAATGAAATGTTAAATTCACAAAAGTTAAGTTTTTAAATGTTAAAATAAAGTTCAGATTTAATGAACTGTGGTAAAATAAATCCAACCTTTTTTTAAGGATAAGCATAATTTTAAATTATTGGGTAACCCAGAAGTTAGTGCCTTAATTAAATTAGGAGATTCTAAAAGGAATAGTGTAAAAACCTGGTTATGGACATTTTTTTACAAAATAGCATCTAGTACATCCTTGCGCTGTACATTGGGATTCACTATCATGGTCGTCTTCTACAGAAGATCATCTTCAGGGTTTATTTACTGCACTATCAGCAGCTTAATTTTTTAGTTACTGTGAAAATTATGTCACTAAAAACACATCAATACTGTCACAATTTATTTAAGAATAACAATAAACTGTATAGTCTTATCACTTGGGGAGAGAGCTAGTCTAGTGGTTGAGCTTTGGTCTGAATGCCCCAGGTTTAAATCCATCAAATCACCAATGACTTTGTCAATACGATAATGCCGCGACCTTCTGAGCCCAGCCTGAAGTAATGTATAAAACGGTAATACTAGAGCCTAGATTCCTATATTACGAAGGTGGGACAGCAAAATTTTAAAGTATTTTTTATCTAAACTGTCTGGAGGATATTTCCGCACTAGCGTTGGCAGTGTTTGCTGTTCAATGTTGTATTGAATGTTTGTTGTGTCAAGCTTCAGACATGAGCCGTTGTGGTGAGTAATATCTCTTTCTCTCTCTCACTTATGGTGAGTAATGTGTCACACTCAGCTAGCTTTGTGGTGAGTAAGACCCCTGTACCTGCAGCTTTGCTTTGAAGCACCATCATCGTCTTACGCGATTGCGGCAAAATTGTGAAAATCTCTCCCCATCTTGTTGAAATCTATAACATCTCCGGTGTGTTAGATCTCAGACGATGGGGAGCATTTCACACTGGAAGATTAACGACAACTAGTGATGGTCGAACCAGAAATTTCAAATCACAAAACCTAAACTGAAACCTTAAAAATCAAATTTCAGTTTTACTCATCTGGTAAATGTAAGACAAATATACGTTTGATAGGTTAATACAACTTTTTTCATTATGCAATAAAAATAAATCACTGTTTCACCCATTTCATAAAATAAAGCCAGTTATTCAATATAACTATTATTGCTATGTGTCGCAGTCCTTTCAAGTTTCAAGCCGTGAAACGTCAACCGAATATTAGACTTTTTACAAGTGAGATCCCTGCCTTCACTGAAACAAAATTTCATGATATTGAAACTACAGGCCAGTGTTGGAAATGTTCTGCCACTTAACAGATATTTACGAGTTACACAATTTTAGCGGTCACATTGGCCATTCTTTGTTCTCAAAAGTTGATAAAAAAAAAACTAAATTCCAAAAACATTGTAACCTCAATTTCAATTTCCCAAAAGAAAATTTGCAACATAGTATAGGGGTCTACTACATCTTTTTCATTCACTTCCTCTTCTACTTATGGTAAGTATTCTCTCTCTCTATCTCTCTCTGTTTACCCGTGTCCCAATCCTCTTCTCATTTGTATCTGTAGCTTGAAATCTCTTGCATATCTACTTTTGTGTTTTACAGAGTTAAATTTGCAATTTGTTTGTTGAGTTGTTGTTCGCTTCAGATTTTGTAGTATTTTTATGAGCACTTAATCTCATGAATACATCATGAAAGTTAATTTTGTATATTCTAGAAAGTTTGCATAAAAGTGTTATTTTTCTGAGTAACCATGTAGGGTGTTTGTGTTATGGTCTTGTAGTTTTGCTTTATATTTTAATTTCAAACATGTTCTAAAATTATATAATTGATTTGATAATAAAGGTCTAATAACATTCGTCGAATAAACTCTTGGAGAATTCTTGATTGGATCAGTTAGTTTTGACAAAAATGTGAATAATATTTAATGTGGTAATTTGTAGAGACATACTATCTTGGTTGATAACATAACTACTTATTTAGTTCGCTGTGATTGCCTTATGTTAAAATTTGTAACATGATAATTTTAATTGATTAAAAAACCACGCACAACTATGTGCAGAAATTAAGACACAGAAAGTGTATTATTTAGTCGTTTATTCTTTTTAGGTAATTAAACTTAATACTTGTGAAATATTTACATTTCTTAAATATTTATTATTATATTTTTTTTTTGTAAAAGCATCTAATTTACAGTCTTAAAGAAAACTTGTCGTTTTGTTTTTACTGAATGGAAAACATAAATTACAAACATCCTTAACAAATATCCTTAAAAGCCTATACAGTGTTTACAAACTGTTTTTATAATAGAAACATTTCTTGATTACTACTAACTAACTAACTAACTAACTAACTAACTAACCATACAATAATTGTACAGTAATTACAGTATATACGTATAATTAATAATAAATAATCAATTGATCAAAATAATTATTACGCTGCACACCCTGTATTAGTTATATATAGTAGTTAGTTTTAGTTGCACCGAAGTAGAGATTTTATATCTTATGGCAATGGTTGTTTGAATTTTAGTATGACAGTGTTCTTAAGTGCACAAACGCATTGCTAAATTTATCTACGTATTTGATTAGCTTTTATTTTTTATATATACTTGTCAAATATTTGTATATTTGTCAAATATAATATGATTCTGTATTATTTTTATGTAAGAATAACTAAGTTTTGTGAAATTTAAATGTAGCCTATATATTTTCTTACTAGGTTTTAAAAAAATTTATGGAGTTTATCGATATTTCTTTCAAATATTAAAGCATTTATAATGAATTATCGTGAGGAAAATGTAAAATATACACCTTATATTAAACATACACCCTGGTAGATTTTTCTTTGTTATATCATTGCTTTTTCCAGTAGCTTTTATATGTCTACCTACTATTACAAACAATGTTGTGTACATTTTGATTATAGTTTACACAATTAATTATGACTATTTTATCTTTGAAATGAAATTAAAGTATAAACCTTATCACTTGAAAAACATTATTTAGGATCATTGTGTAGGATTTAATGTTATTGGGAAAAGTTAACTTCTGTAGTTTTTATTGTTATTGTTATCAAATTTCTATTGTGATTAGAACTTGAGGATTTAAATTATTTTTGTCAGAATTAATTTTACTAAAAAAATGTGTTATATTACGATTCTTACTCCATTTATCAAACCAAATATTAAGTGCTATAACAAATTTTTAAAACTAATTTGCTATTTTGATTAAAGCTTTTGAATTTAGGACTATTTTATTTTTATATGTTGTAATTCATTTTACTCATGACATGCTATAATTGTAATAGCATGTCATGTGTATTGTATATGAAGAATTATTCTTCGTATATATCAATTTTCGTGTGTTGCTAGCCTAGTGGTTAGCGTCTCGGACTTAGGTACGGGAGGGACGTGTTCAATTCCTGGCACATTTAAAGGGTTTGGACCGCTTTCCCTTAAAAACGTTAAATCTAACGTAGTCTTAAATTGAAATACCTCTGGCATAGAAAAAAACACCATAGATTTACGATTTTAACAAAATTGATGGTTTAAACCTTTTTTGCAAGCAACAAACGTAACTTGTTGATTTTTCAGGAGCAGCACGTCAACAGCGGCTACAGCGTTTGCGATTGCGACCTGCGGCAGCAGCAACCCTCGCGACCTATCACCTGTGACCAAGGCCCGAGACACGGGACAACGAGGCGGCAGTTGTCGCGACCGTGAACGCAACCGCCGCAAGGAGAGTGTAATGAGCACCGCTGCGACCATGCGAGTCCTCAACGTATTGAGACATTGGGTTTCCAAACACTCCCAGGTAGTTCAGCCATTACGTACGTTACAGTACAAATAGGCTAGGTTATTAACAGACTAACAAAAGTAGAGACGATATGTTAGTCCGCTTTTCACAGCGATTCTAGAACTATCCGTCTTTCTCTCGTAGACACGAAATAAAGATAAAGATCAACAAACTTATGAGATAATGTTTGGTTTGTTGTTCAGGACTTTGAGCAAGACAGCCGATTGAAGAACCTGACGATCGAGTTTCTAGACGACATCATGTACAGTCCCAACCTGTTGCCAGCGGAACACAAGGCAGCATCTCAGCTGTTACGACTCATTACCAAGGACGATCCCGAGAGCTCCAAGGTCGACCTGGACTTGCTGCTGGCTCCTCCGGTGGTAAGTGGGGAACCAAGGAAACTGGGAAAAGGGTTTGGATGTTTTGTTGTGATCCCCAGTACTTGCCTAGCCTAATCAGGAAGTTAGGGAACCTAGTCGGTCTTGTGGTAGTGGTTACATTAGTGTGGTGTACTTCTATGTTATTAAAAATTGTATGTTATACTTGATTATAGGGTTAATAGTGAAACTAGATGGCTCATAAAAATACTCTAAATTATATGAAAAAGGGTTAAAATGTATAAAAGACCAACACCTTTGGGTTCCAGAGTCAAGGTCTTGTATGAAATCTAATGGGTTTTATCTGTTTCAGACACCAAGTAAGGAAAGCATTGAAACTCTCTCTGCGTTGGAAATAGCTGAACAAATGACGTATTTGGATCATCAGATATTTGTGGCTATTAGAAGCGAGTAAGTATTCGTAAATTTTCCAATTTCAACGCGGTTTTCTTTACTGAGTTTTTGAACATTCATGCTTAGCTGATTAAGACACAATCAGAATTGTAAAACAAATTATGAAAGTGTCACTAGTAATTGGTGGAAAATAATTCTAATTAATGTGTGTTAGTTTGTGTTTAGTGTTTGTACTATATTTTATTTTAATTAAAACTTGTTTCATCAGAGAGTTCCTCGGCCAAGCTTGGATGAAGACTGACAAAGCCACCAAAGCTCCACATATCATTCTGATGACCAGACGCTTCAATGAGGTAATATAGCACTGTTAATCAGCTGCTTTTAAACCGATCAGCTGTTTGTAATAACCCCATGAGTTGTTTGTCACACTGATTAACTGTTTAAGTCTTTATTGCTGTTCTGTCTCTTGCGCTGTCTTCATTGACTTTTATCCTGGCCATATCTTTATTCACCTCATCCTTCCATCTTTTCTTCGGTCTACCTAGAGGTCTTCTCCCCATTGGATCACAATTCCACACTTGATATATTGTGTTTGTTTCATTTCTTCTAATGATGTGGCCCGTCCATCAAAGCTTCTTGGTTTTAGCCTCTGTAATTACATTTGGGCTCCTTGAAAAGGTCGCTTAGTTCTCGACTATGTTTAATGCTCCATGTAATTTATTTATTTATTCCATGAAAAGATTTTGTCATTACTGACCACAAACACCAATATCAATTCACTAAATGATAATGCCATAATGCAGTGATTGGGAGCTGACCTTAAGTTGGTAATCCGCATAACTAGGAAACAGAAAACAAAATAACTTCGACGAGGTGAACTCTTTCTTACTGTACTAGTTGTTATCTTCCTCAAAGCTACTTAGTTTATTTGTATTCTATGTACAGGTATCCCAGCTGGTGGTGTCTGAGATTGTCCGAAGATCCAACATCAACGCTCGTATCAACGCTATTGAGAAGTGGGCCGCAGTCGCGGATATATCACGGTGCCTCCACAACTTTAACGGAGTGTTGCAGATCTGCGCAGCCTTCACCAACAGTTCTGTGTTCCGGCTGAAGAAGACTTGGGAGAAAGTCTCTAAAACTGTAAGCTATTTGATTTCAGAACAGTTATTGTTGTTATGATGGATTAAGTGTTAGTATTATGGCTGGTTAGGTGGATAACCAACTATAAGGCTGATAAAGCTGTAAAGCAGAGGTTTTGATTTTGAAAGTCAGAGCTTAAATTCAATTGTTTTTTTTACCATTCTCCATTTCCCATTTGGAGAGGCACAAAAGTTATAAGGTTTGATGTATTAAATGAATATAATGTCTATTAAAATTGTGTTTCGTAAAACAGCATTACATTGCAATAGTATGTCACTCACGATGTTGTAATATTCCCAAATAATAAACAGCCTTTCTTACATTCAAATTCAAGTAAACATTTCAAGATTTTTTTTACTCAAATTCAATTAATTTACAACTAAATTTACTGCCAAGAGCTTTTGTTCCTACATAAAACCATCACTTGTGTATAGTTTCAACTGTTATGTGTGACTTTTTCATTTTAGACCAAACAGACGATTGAGAAGTTGCAGAACATAGTTTCCTCCGACGGGCGTTTCCGCAACCTTCGCGATGCTCTTCATCGTTGCGATCCTCCCTCCATACCCTACCTGGGCATGTACCTCACTGACCTCTCCTTCATTGAGGAGGGAACCCCCAACTTCACTGAAGATGGTCTACTCAACTTCTCTAAGATGAGAATGGTGAGTAAATCATTTCAGTTGTAGGACTTCTCTTACAAGATTTTTTATTAATATATAACTACTAGCTGTAACCCGCGGGCTTTGCCCCATTTAACTTCTTAATTTTCAAGATTATCTCGTTCGCATGGCTCAATCACGTCCTGGTTGAAGTTTGTTCGCTACGCTCACTCACCTTTAGGTTGGAGCTCGTTCGCTGCGCTCACTTGCCTTCAGGTTAGCTCGTTCGCTACGCTAACTTGCCTCCAGGTTGAAGTTCGTTCGCTACGCTCACTCACCTTTTAGTTGCAAATTAGCTGTTGTCATAAATGTAAAAGAAATAATAGTGCTGCACCCTGTTGGTAATCCTTGTAACTTTAATGCTATTGAACATCATAGAACAGAACCAACTTGTTTAATTGAAACAGCTGTTAAGATTCAATAATTCCATTTCTCATAAGGTTAACATGGGAAACTCCAGAGCCACTGGGGTGGAGCCCGAAAGGATTTTTGAAATAAGAATATGCCTATATGTTAATCGGGAATGTGAGCTATCATCATGCCAAATTTCAGCCCAATCCGACCAGTATTTTTTGCGTTCACTTGTCACAAACATACATCCATACATCCATCCATACATCCAAACTTTCTCATTTATAATATTAGTAGGAAGTAGGATGTGTGGAACGTTTTAAATTTGTTGTGAGCTTAACTTTTCAGCAGAGTGTGCCATTAATAATTAACTTTATCTTTGAAAATAAAACCAAAATTAACCAGATCATTTATTCCCAACTAACTACTATAATATTCCTTCACACATACTAAAGGTGAACATCTCTGGTGTAACAATTAACAGTCAATTTGGACAAATATTAAACACTATAGGACATGGTTTGGACTGCATAGTTTCATTAAATTTATAACAGCAAGTTATAAGATTAGATTATATCGAGTTATGAATGCAATCTATCGATTTAATTAATATTAATGTGGAAAATCACTTCCAAATTGGTAAATCTAGGCAACAATAACTTAGAAAATACCACCAAAGAATTCTTAGGTAGTATTATCTCTATCTATAATATACGTAATTATTGGAATGGTGTTTTGTCAAATACAAATATTTAATGGTATCAGTATATCGGAAAAGTCCAAAAATTGGTTAAAAATTGGCTCATCGAAATAGATGTCTACTTCAGTATCGTTAAGTCAATTCTATAATCCCAACTGATTGTTACAGATCGCACACGTTATCAGAGAGATAAAACACTACCAACAGACTCCGTACAAGATAGAGCTGATCACCAAAGTCACAAACTACCTGCTCGACCCTTCGCTACTGCTGGACGATGACGAGCTGTACAGAATGTCGCTGGAGATCGAACCACGAACGTCACGACTCAGCGTAGCCAACATCGCTACTACGATGCCTACACCGCCCCCCAGGCCTTGAGACAACGCCTCCTTTAAAAGGTTCAAGTTCAAAGTGTAAAGCTAAGCTTCAGGAAGAGATGTTGTTGTTGGAGTTGTCAAATGTTTATTTGTTTAGAACGGTTTAGTATATTTTTATAGCGTAGAAAAAGAGCTGTTGTATAATCTCTTCTGAAGCGGCAAATTTAGTCTATTCAACATAGTAAGCTAGTTTCACAGGTTATTGCAAATTGTAAATTGGAGCACAATCAATTGTTAGATCTCCTAGGAGCAGTAGAGTAGCTGTATTATACGGTAGCTGTTAAACAATCATTGAAATTGTTCAAGTTTTTGCGAGTAAAGTTCACACACAGATATTGTTAGTGTTGAGAAAATCAATTGCGCAAAGACGTAGTTTATATTGTTAGCAAATTTGTTCGTACACAAAACAATAATTTTACCTGTGTAAAAAAGATTATTTAAAAAATTTTTTTGATGGTAATATTATTGACAATATTTATAACCAAATGTAACCTTGAGTCAAAAAGTTAAATAAACCGTATTTCCTCTTGTTTCAAACAATCTGTTCAGTACAACACACTTCTAATCTGAAATCACTTAGAAAAGTTGTTTAAACTGCTGATACCATAAAAACTTCTTTAATTTCAATTGAATGAAACTATTTCTTTTAGACTTTTTATGATAGTCTTCTCAGTTTAGTAGATCCAGTGCTTGAATTGCAGGGGAACGCGGTGAAACGGGGTTTCAGTTCTTTTGGAAATATAAAATTATTGTCATAAATAGGTACTAATCACTTTAAATAGGTTCCAGTTCCGGCAAATCACAGCAAATCAAGCACTTAGTAGATCTCAAATAAACTAAGTGATGTGAATATTTTTGAATTATTTATACACAATATCTAAATGAATATTCCCAACTGACTGAAACTGCATATTTCCATCCATACCATTTAACATAAAAAGCATCCTTAATAAATCTGGATTATTTTCAATTTTAGCAAATTTCCTTAAGTGTTTACCGAAGGTGTTGTAAGAAGACAATTTCTTTGAATTGTAACTGTGTTGCTTTTCTTCCATAAACAATGTAGGTATAAGTTTAAAAATCGATAAAAACTCACAAAACTATATTCTTTAGCTTTATTTTCAACTCAACAGTGTTTTAAAATATTTTCACTTCAAAAATGATTTTAACAAAATAAATCATACTTTCTTAATGCCTTGATTTAGTTCATACTGTAATTTCAGAAGTAATTATAGTTTTTGAAAACTTTATTTTATTGTATAGGTTTCAATCTGGAAAGTAGCAATGTCACTTTCGTCTAATAACAACTACGGTAAAAACTTCTTCCCTGGGGAAATTTACTAAAATACACAATATTCCTCTAATTAAGCAAACAAAGTTGCTATCTTCAAATCTCAATATTGCTGTGATGTCTGTGTGTTTATCTTTACTCAATATTTAGAATTATAATGGACTTTCTCAGAAATCTCATCTAAGTAGTGAGTAGTAACTTTAGACATTAAAAAATAATCTGAAAATAAATACAGTATCCCTGGTATAAGCTTTTGACTGCCATTTTAAAATATTGTCTAAGCTTATATTCTAGATCACATATCTATAGACTTTATTTTCAAGCAATTTAAGACATATAATTTCGACTGTGATAATGAAATCTGATTGATCTCTTTAGTTTTTACGAATGAGTTACTTTAGTTGTGTATCAAGTAATTTAAACTGTGTTTGTACCTACCTAAAAAAAACCTCATTTAGTACTCTTAGTTATTTGTTTTGTGGAAAATGTTTTAAGTCACAATGATAATAATTGTGATTTTCTAAAATTAGTTTTTATTCATACTTTAAGATTGTTTTCTTTATTTTCCTTTGTACAGCGATCCGTTTATACAGACATTTAAAAAAGAAGATTTGTTAAGTCTGTTGCATACCGATTATATTTTTCATCTTAAGTATTGGTATTTATAATATTTTTTCTTTGAAATACTAATTTGTCTCTTATCACTATCAGCAATACACTCGTTCTGACCTTTTAAATCAGTTTAATCTTACAAGACTGTCCACTTATTGTACTGCCTGATATGTAAAAGCTTTAATGATTATTCAACATAATTTCCTATCGGGCTAAGATTGTTTTCACTTTAAGTGTCAAAACACACTCAGGTAATTAACTTGTTGTTCAAATCAGTTAAAAGTATACAAATAATTATTCCAACTGGTTTAGGCATTATCTACTTTTATTTTAGTTTTGAAACTGTGGTTTTAATTGTTACTTATTATTATAGGTGATGAGGATGTTTTTACCCGAATAAACCTATGGCACACTTGGTAGTATTTACACCGTTAAATTGCAGAAGTTTTGCTAGGTGGTGAGTTAGCGGGGGATGTTCTTTGAAAAAAATACATAAAATCTAGCTTCATATTTAATAAGGGAGAATATAACAATCCAACAGCATTTATCTGATTGGAACTTAATTTTGTATCAAATATAGAAAGAAAGCAAATATGAATAGAATAAATACCTATTTCCAAAATACTAATCATTTCTTTTGTGATGAATCAGTATTCCAACTAGTTCTTTTAATGTTATCAATATTTTCATTTTACTATTATTTTTTACGACCTGACGGTCATAAATTTTTACTTTCAACAATAAATTACATAGTGTAGAAATGTATACAGGTTTCAATCAAGCCTATCAAACCGAACATGTTTTCCTTTTCAAAATTAAAATCCCTTTCAAATGTCTTAACAACCTCAACAAAACTGTGCTCTTGAACCTTTTAGAGGAGTAAAAAGATTTAAAGATCGATGAAATAAGTTTAATTCAGCTTTTCATTCGACTTTTTCCTGTAAAAACTGTATTTTTCTCTGTGGTAAATTTGTATGTACAATACTTACAAAGTCAAGTCTATATTTTTATAATTGCGATCGTTTTCGCTCTGGTTTTCGGAGTGTACAAGAATGGAAATACGTATTTGTGCTTTTAAACCAGATATATATGTGTCAACCCGTCTGTTAGTAATTAAATACACTATTCAGGTATTGTATATAAACTATATTTTATTAGGATTACGTTATTTCGGTTTCCGATGCGTTATATCGTTGAGATTGTAAATTAATATGGACATATCAACCCGGTGTATTACTTCTGGAGGTTGCTCAAACTTGAGGTTCATATCACTGTAGATAAGCTATAGTCAATGTTCTCCTTGAAATGTACATACTTCATATGAGATACAGAGTGTTACTATTTGTTGTGGTCCTAGGTTTGGTTCAGTTTTAAATTACAAACTAACTGTATTCCACACTGTGAAAAGCAATAACTTGTGTTTTCATGTTGAATATCGAGCCCCAAATCCGCTTTATGATTTCAAAAACCGAATTCATAATCTTGTAAAATGTATGTGTTTCATGATTTTTAACTACCAGTTAAATACGGACTGTATAAAACATATGTTGTAGAATTTTGTTCAAGCACGAATTCCAATTTTGTTACCGGACTGACGCAAAATACTATTTCGTTCATTAAAAGAGTTATTTTGTAAATGTAAATCAGTTTCTACAAAGTAATGTCATTTTGAACTAAATTTAGTCTTGGTAAAAAAAATATTAACTTATAATCGACAACTTTAAGACTACTAAATATTAAAAATAAATAAGTATTTACTGTTTGGTTTAATCAGCACTTCCTGTTTAGTTACAAATAACTTTAGATACAAATCAGTGAATCACAATCGAATAGCCAAAACATGTTAGTAAAAAATAGTTTATGTAAATCATTATTTTTACTATGTGTAGATTCTAATTTCAACTGTTAAATCGTTACAATCAATTTACAGGGTATTGTTGTGTGAGTTATCTACATACTTTGTAACTGTCAAATTAATTATCTGTAGAAAGTTAATGTTTTAATCAAGTCGGCACATAGTATTATTTAGTGATATCAACCTACAGCATTGTTGACTGGGTAAACTTTGTGCAACGTTGATAGTATTTAGTCTATTTCCCGGGTTTTTCTGCAAACTTTGCTGTCTTGCACATGCCTACATTGCGTAACTCTACTAAGCATTTTCATCGAGGTCACAGTAAAACAGATTACCAATCCTAGAATAAGAGTTTTAACATAAAACGGACTTGTTATTGAAAGAAATAACTTAAGTTCATACACATGGGAGAATTATTTGTTGTATAATTGATAAATGACAATTATTAGTGATTGTTATGTATAACATAAGGATTATTTAGTTCTATGTTGACATGTTAATGATTGTCTTGGGTGTTTGTACTTATTGTAATTTTTATTTACAATATCACCATAAATTCTTGGTTAGTGGTGAACTAATATGAATTGCGTTGTAAAATATCAAACTAAAGAAGTTTTTGATTTTTGAAATAAGTATTTAATAGATAAGAATAATCCAATATTTTCAACCTAAAATGTTTCAATTATATTTTTTACTTTGAGGGCAATCTTCTCCAGCTTAATCTTTCTGGAATCAAATACTCAGGCAGTTTCAATGTGTAATGTCGTAATTTTTAGTTAAAAAAATTGAGATGGAAATTAATTAAGGCATGGTTAAAAAAGTTTTAACATATGTTTTTATTTAAGTACCAAGTGTATAAAACTAAAATGGAGGTTAGAAAATAAATCTACAAATACACAGTTGTAGGGAAGGTTCATTAAAAAAGTACAAAAAGACCAAGTGTACCTGATAAAGTCTTTGGTACTCACATTTTTTTAACTTTAAAAATTTGATTGTAAGACAATCTGTAAAACGCTAATCATCAGTATCTTCTACAATTCTTAAAAAACTTATTTTTTTCATGCAAATTTTACATTATAATTTTTTGCAAAAATTTTCCCAAACGGTTACATAAATTATGAACTCAACTTCTTTATTGGTCACAAAACATTTCTTTTGGTTCAAACTAAGTTGGTGAAATAGGTGGTAAGACTAACTTGGGTAAATAACAATGTTCGAGGATCTTATCACATAATGCCTGACTATTTTTTTCGCATTAGAAGCTTGACGATTTTGTTGGGGTAGTTGGGGAGCGGCTGGTCTAGTGGTAGAGCTCGGTGCTTTGGAGCCCATAGTCCCGGGTTCAAATCCCGCCAATCACCAATGGATTTTATCTATGTGATAATGATGCAACCCTCTATGACTAGCCTGAAGTAATGTGTAAAACAGTTCCGGGCTAGAACCTAGCGTTCTAGGATATGTTGGTGGAACTTAACTAAAATATTGTCGCTGGAGTAGATTGCTTTCGTGGAGTTAAATGAGAACTTATTGAAGATCTCTTCACCACCGCAACTGCCATTCCCTAATCATCTACATATTAGGTATACTGTACTGTTGTTTCTTAGAATGTTGGCTATTTCGGACTCATTTTATTAAATACCACAGATAAGTAAG